TGCTGGTGCATCCTGATCTTTGCCAGGCCAACGTTCACCATGAACTGAAATGTTAAAGTACTCGGGGGCTCATCAGAGGCTCCAACTCCTGCAACTTGCGGGGCATCCTTTCTCGGCTTGGGCAAGAAGCACATGTGCCGCAATTCTAAAGGAGCGGTCCCAGGGGGAACCACTTTGCGCTTCTGTGCCCGAACCGTGTGCCAGAGAATCGCTGAATAATCTGCCTTTGCCAATTCAAAGAGATCAGCATCAGGAAGCCATTGAAAGTGCCCGCCTTGATCCTCACGAAGAGCCTCCCACTCGACTTGCTGCACGGCCATACCACCTTCATGGCCTGGCAATGTCCAAACCTCGAGCCACTGGTGAGCAGGAAGAGGACCTGGCCGAATGAGTGCTCCGTCTCGTTTTTTGGGGCCAATCCTCGTTCGAGCTGCCAGGCGCGTAATCCTCATGGCCTCCGCTGCGCGCCTCTGCTTCCACATCTCATTAGCTTCGTCCAAGAGCTGCCGTCGACGTCGACGTTGAAACTGCCTGCGGGCTATCTTCAGCTGCTTGGTCAGGCTGGCCAATTCTGCGTCGATCTGCTTCACCTCGTCCTCGCTGCCCTCGAACTTCCCTGCTCTGATCTCGGTTCGCTGTTGTAACAAACGTCGGCGATCAGCACAGTGTTGCGAATAATCTTCACATAGAGGCGGCCGCATAGCCGCGGTAAAAAAAACTTCTCTCCCGCCGAAATCAAATGCCCTTCCAGCGTCTCGAAGATGTCGTCTGGTGATGCACTCTCTTTGATATATCGCGGGTCCACCGTCTGTAGTGAATCACGCACGTGTTCAAGAAACTCTCGCTTGTGGGTGCCCTTCTTGAGGGCCATCATAAGAGCGTCTCGGTCCCATCGCAAAGTAGGTTCCGTTTTTGACTTCAGGAGAATACTTAGCATAATTCATGACGCACACCAGTGGTAAGTGATCTCTGGGAGCCGCACCACGTTGTAGTTGCAACTTTGCACCCAACTTCGGGATAGTGCCACAAGTGATAGTCATAGCGTCCATGTCCGCTGGATAACTGAGATAATCTATTCGTGAGCTATATGTGTCGCCAAAGAAAGTCGGCAAGCTTCTCCCACCCACCGTGATGCCTGCTAGAAGCCGATGTTCCTCAAGAACTGCTC